CTATCTATCTATCTATCTATCTATCTATCTATCTATCTATCTATCTATCTATCTACCTATCTACCTACCTACCTACATATCTCTACCAAAGTGTACCTGGATGTGTAATGCCTGTGGTTCTCTGTGGGATCTGTCCAGACCTCCAGGTACAGTTGGGATCCCCCAGCTCCTCTCCATTGGTCTTCCCGTCACCGTCAGAGTCCAGACGACAAAGTTCTTCGTTCCACTGGACACACACAGACAGACAGAAACAGTATATTAAAATGTAGGTCATAAGTTCGTGATGTCGCACACTAGTGGTTAAATACACGTCACAGCCATTGTCCAGACAACTAAAGTCCTGGTTCCACAAGACAACACACAAATAAACCCCAGATTTAACCGGAGTTTGTGGTGAAATGATTATGCGCTTCTCTGTCGCTCATAAAAGACCTGAGTTCGATTCCTGAGTAGGGAGAAAACTTTAATCGAGTATCGTGGTCCTTCTTGTGGGATGTTGTATCCCTCTCACTCCAGCAAGCTACACTTAGCAGACACCGGTGTTCGTTTCTTGAGCATTTCGTCGACGTTCTAGAGCGCCTTCTAAATGTCACTGAGTTTTGCGAGATAGTTGTCGGAGTGTGATCTCTGCTTTGACAGGTAATTGTAATTGTAAACATATTTCGCCCCCATCAACACAATTTAGATCATTTGGTTGCTTTTAAGGACAAGCAGGCTGACCCAGATTTCGGGGGTTTCCAGATATCTTGACCTACACCAAAAGTGGGCATTGCCCTACATTTAGAAGAAGTTTGGTATCATTGGTGTGTGTATTTGTTTGGTTATAGAGAAAACTCTCCTTGTCTTTTAAAGAAACTACTGAACAAGGGGCAAAAACGTTACCTTCGATTTTCTCAAAACAGCATTTTTCGGGATAGCCCCCTTGTGCTTAAAAGCGACCATTTAACAGGCAGGAAGCTGCTATCCGATCTGTTTGTGTCAATACATGAAGGATACAGCACCACAGAAGACAGACAGAGATACAAGGCTTTTAATAAGATCTCTTCTCCGGAATGGAACTCATGTCCTCGGCACGTGACGGCAGAGAGCCTAACCATCACCCCACAGACGTCAGTTGACGTGGAGACAGCCGGGTATGAAAACATTTTTTAAACGATCAAACAAACAAACAAACAAACAAACAAACAAACAAACAAACAAACAAACAAACGAACAAACGAACACACGACCTGACCATAAATAATTTATTTATAGAGACACCAGCCATCAATGTCCATGTCTTTTTCTTATCCACAAACAAACAAGCAAACAAACGAACAAACAAACAACCTGGCCATCAATAATTTATTTATGGAGGCACCAGCCATCCATGTCCATGTACATTGTACTGTCGTATCCAGAATCAATCAAACAAACAACCTGGCCATCAATAATTTATCTATAAAGTCACCAGCCATCCACGTCCATGTACATTGTACTGTCGTATCCAGAATCAAACAAACAACCTGGCCATCAATAATTTATCTATAAAGTCACCAGCCATCCACGTCCATGTACATTGTACTGTCGTATCCAGAATCAATCAAACAAACAAACAAGCAAACAAATACACCACTTGGCCATCGATATTTTATTTATAGAGGCAACAGCCATCCATGCCCAAATTATGCTGTTTTATCTATAATCAAACAAACAAGCAAATAAACAAGCAAGCAAAAGACTCACCGTACGCCCGAGGCGGGCAAAGTCCTGTCCGAAGACGTTCCTGGCCCCGCCCCCTAGCGGGTTCTCGTGTCCGAGTCCTGGCCACCGGTAGTTGACCTTACACGGGTGTTGGACGTTGTTTCCGTTGGGCAGTTGTTCTTGGTAACTCAGGTAGGCCCAGCTGGGCTCCCATAGCACCGCGCTGACACACAGACTGGATAACATGGAAACAGGATTTTTGAGTTTGAGTTTGAATTTCAGTTTGAGCTTGTTAGTTTGAGCTGTGATTTTGAATTTCAGTTTGATTTTGTTAGTTTGAGTTGAGAGTTTGAATTTTTTAACTTTG